TATTACTATCAGGTGGAGACTTGTTGTTTTTTTTTTAAAAAAAAAGGCCTCAGAAATTGTAAAAGCATACAAAAGTTGCTTTCGAAATCATCATTGGCCAATAGCTGAAAATTGAAACGCAGTTAATAACATATTTAAGAAACAGCAATAAAATAAAACTTGTGTCAGTCAGCATACAGATAGTGTTGCGAGACTCTATCAGGAAGTAAAATATCCTGTCGTTCTCTACTTCTAATCTAAGTAATGAATCTAACTAAATAATAAAACTTCTAGTACAAAAAGAGCAACCTTTTATTTACATAATAATATTCAGACGATTATTTCTTGTTCCACAAAAAGACTCATAAAAAACGTTGCTATGACAACTCGGCAGTTTTAACAGAAAGCGAAAGTTAGCTTTTAGCTTACATAAAAAGAATTATCAACTTTTAACATCCTCCCCCCTTTTGATTTTGAAAAAATCAAAATTTTTAAAATTATCTATCTCTAAATGATGAAAATTTATCAAAGCAAACAAATAATAATATCCAAAAAAAAAATTATTGTCTATAACGTAATGATTTTACTAATGTCCTTCCACATCTAGTTTTTAATGGCAAGTTATTGTCTTTGAGTGTACATATTTCAACATCTTCTGGTTTCGTTATTTCTGGCACGTTGGACTGACTTTCAAATGTTTCATCAAATGACTTCTTCTTAAACAGTGGATCATGATGAGAGATCTCTAATGGATATATTTTTTGGACGGGTCTATCAACTTCTCCATTAGCTGTTTTTACTCTTACCACTCGAACATGGTTGTCTTTTCCAGGGTATGTGGATATGATTTTTCCCAAAGGCCAATCTATTCGTTTCTTATTGTCGTAGCTTATCAAAACAACATCACCAGGCTTTAAATCTCGTATTAGATGTTTATTCTTGAGCGGTTTTTGAACCAAAAGACTAAGGTACTCGTTCCTGAACCTTTTTCGAAAGGTGTCTCTTAAAGATTGTTGATATCTCCATCTTTTGTGATGCTAACAGTGTCTAGGTGGTCTAAATCTGGTACACCGATGACTCGTATATCTTGCATGAACATCGATGGGGTGATTGGGAGTAAATCCTTTGAATCATCTGAAATGTAGGTAAGAGGCCTACCGTTGATAATGGCCTCCACATCGCACAAAATAGTTGACATTTCTTCATACGTCAGACAGGCTTTTCCTAAAACTCTTCTTAGTAATCTTTTAATCATTTGAACGATTCTCTCCCACCACCCACCCCACCATGCTGCAGTGGGTGGGTTGAATTTCCACTGTATCCTGAATATTGAAGCATCATTAATGACTTTCTCCCATTCAATTGATTTCAACAGATTATCCGTTCCAACGAAACTACTTCCATTGCCACTGTGCATTATTTTGGGCCGTCCTCGTCGAGCAATGAATCTCCTGAAACCTAGCATGAAGCAGCTTGTTGACAGGTTTTTAATGAGTTCCAGATGCACGGCTCGTTATACGGCACAAGTAAACAGGAGAATCCAAGTTTTTTTGCCATCTTTCAAATGAAGCGGGCCTGCTAAATCTACCCCAGAAACTTCAAATACCAAAGAATCACGAATTCTATCTTCTGGTAAGGGTGTTGGCACGGATTCCACTCCCCTTGAATCATGTCTCCTACATCGAACATATTTCAAAATCACTCCTTGGATGGTTTTTCTCCCTTTCAAGATCCAAAATTGTTGTCGGATATCAGCCAACACAAATTGTACTCCAGCATGCAAAGACTTCAAGTGTCTCTCGCGTATCAATTTATCCACAATCTCATGCTTTGACGGAAGGACAATCGGGCACAAAAAATTATCATCATCACTTCTTCTGGTGATTTTTGTTTTTAGTCTGCGAATACCGTCGTTGTCAATAAAAGTGCAAAGAGTTTTTACATCTTCTTCCTTCAATGTTTCACGTTGCACAAGCTTCATTAATTGTTTCTCAGCCGATTCTAATTCATTCACTGAAAGAACTTTTTCCTTTTGAATTTTACTTTTTCAGGTATTATTGATAAATCGGTACATCCAAGCAATCATTCTCAATATTTGTGAGTACTTAGAAAAACGTCTGCAGTACCATTGAACATCAGCATCATTACTAACAAGAGAAGAAATAATACTTTTTCGTCTTTCTTTTGCTCTCCTCCTTTTTTTCATTGAATTCATTTTTTGGCTATTCTTCTACACGCAATTTTAACCATGGTGGTCCCTCCCACCACTTTGATTTTAAGAAGACGTTTGCGGAACAACCTCTGGAAGGTAAGTCTGCTGGGCTCTGCTCCCCGGGTAAGTGTTTCCATGAAGTCTTTTCCGTTAATGATCGGATTTCTTTTACTCGATTATTGACGAACACACCCCAGTTCTCTTCTCTCTTAATCCAACAAAGAGTGGTTGAAGAATTGGTCCAGTAAATGATAGGTACTTCCTTTAGATCCATCGCTTTTATTGTTATCGAGGCAAGACGTGCTCCAATGCAACAGGCAAGTAACTCCAACCGTAGAATAGTCATCTTGTGTAGTGGAGCTACTCTACTTTTGGCTTGTATAAAATGTAAGGATATCTTTTCTTCTTGGACCTTTCGAAGGAATATAACTGTGCTGTATGCGAGTTTACTGGCATCACAAAATACATGAATACTAAATTCAGTTTTTAAATCACTCATACCTAAGCATCTTGGAATTTTAACGTCATTCAATAAGGACAAATCATCACACCAGGTCAAAAACTCTTTTCGGTAATTTTCTGGTAATTCTGTATCCCATCCTATTTTAAGAGTCCAAGTGTGCTGTACTATGATTTTAGGAGGTAGAGTGACTGGGCACAAAATACCAAGAGGATCAAAAATCTTTTGAACTGTAGACAAAACACATCTTCTTGTTAGGATAGGTTTCACTTCTTTAATATTGTTCAAATCGCAAAAGATGCTATCTTGCTGTTTGTCCCAGAGTAATCCCAACACATGAGTAGGCTTTCCATCAGTGAAATTGTCGTGCGAGTATTCCCATCCTCTGAGATCGAAACACGCACTATGTAACAATTGGGTCGATTCCTGAATAAATTTCTCAAGCTTGTGTTGATTAGGTACTGAAGTTATGCAATTGTCAACATAAAAAGACTTTTTCAAACTATCAGCAGTGTCTTTAATATCTGATGGACTTGCTTCTAGAATTGCATTTATTACTGCAGACAAAAGGAAAGGACTACACGTGAGTCCAAAAACTACTCTCTTGTGTCTAAAAATCTTAAATTTTTTCTTCTCAAAATCTTCCCACCAGAGGAAACGAAGGAAATCTCGATCTTCTTTAACAACAGAAATTTGCAGGAAGGCCTTTTTAATGTCTGACACTACACCAATGTTGTCCATCCGAAATCTCATTAACAATGGTGGTATTTCTTCTAAAAGATTAGGTCCCTTTTCAAGACAGTCATTCAGCGAAGGAAAACCTTTTTCATGTGAAGAGGCGTCGAATACTGGCCGGACACGAGTTGTAGAATGTTCCTTAAAAACTCCTCTGTGTGGTAGGTAGTGAGAAGCTTCCCCGATTTCAGATTCTGGCACCAATTCTATTATTTTAGAGTCTTCCCATTCCTTAAAAACTGCATCATAATCTTCGTAACGGCCTTCAGCTTCGAGCTTCATTGAAGTTGAAATGCATCTTCGTTCAGCAACGGATTTATTTTGCTGGAGATAATCTTTAGTTTCCAGCCATGGCAAATGAACTTCGTAAC